ATACGTTGTTATATTATAAGCAAACGTTACAAGCCTTTGTATTACCCCTCGCGTAGGGCTTTTTTGCTACTAGCAAACGATACATTTTACCACTCGCACATGCCGTTTTTACCACTAGCATATGGCATATTTTGCTACTTGCGACTCGCAACTTGGTACTCGCATACGGCACTATTTCTCGGTCGTACATACCTCGCACATGCAGTGGTTTAGCGATTCAATTCAAAATGGCCGACTGGCAGCCATCTTGTTTTTTGAAAATGTTGTATTTTGGACATGCTTTGTTTTCATTCAAATTTGGTACATAGATTATACATGTTAGGATACATGTCCATGACAATTTCTTTCAAATCTGATCAAGGATGGCCGATTGACAGCCATCTGACTTTTTGGCCTTTTCCATAATTTATGTACCATTTTCATTCATATTTGGCACATACATCATACATGTCACTTTGTTTCATAATCAGATCAAAGATGGCCAAATAACAGCTGTTTTTATTTTTGGCCATATTACTACTACACAGAACACATGTTTTGATGTAAATAAACAATCTGTTGTATACGCCACTTGGAACTCAAGTTTCAAGGACACGCTTGCGACAACCCCTCCGCTTTAATATGACGAGCACAAAGAGAACTTTCAAAAATTTAACGGAAACTGTGTCATTTTCAATGACTTGTTTTCTTTGACACTAAGCTTCACCATTTGGGATGGCAACATGTTCTACTAACTGCTATATATACTGTCAATGGTTTTTATTTTGCAAGAGAGAAAATCGCAAAATTTAGTAGCAAACATTTTTTGGAGTGTCTGAGTTTTGCGAAATTTTGTCTTCACAAATTTTATGAAATCTTGAAATCACAGAAATTTCTAGCAGTAAAAATTAAATGGTTACAGTGTGGTCATTATTTGCTTGTCCAAGATAGCAATGAGAAGCACATGTGATTTAGATATTGATCCAAGTACAATAAAGTGTAACAACTTGTTATACTTACAAACTTATTGTTTTATCATTTAAAGTGATTACAAAAGTGAATTAAATAAATAAATAAATAAATAAATATGGGTCTACATGTATATGTCTTTATTTCTATAGCAATCTGGTTTTGTGAAATGTTTTGATGGGCAAATTGATCTAATACAGCATTCATATTTTACTGTATTCTAATCTTCCATGCATTTTATTTATTTACACAGCTAACAAGTTTGTTAATCAGTATTTTGGTGTAGAACAAAGAGGTGATAGTCACCCAGCTTTGAACATTTTACATAGGTTATGTACAGCTACAGAAAAATTATCTCTTGAGGTAAGAAAACTGAATACAATTAGTCACATATATTGTACATAGTTATTGTGTAATTGATACTATTAATAATAGATAGACCAGCTTTAACGTTGTAACAAAGAACTAGACCAGGCAAAGAAGATAATTTTTAGCTTCAGCACTGAGAAACTAGAATCAAAGAAACACTGACAAAACTAAACAACTTCCATCAGATGCTAATCAGGAAACATTTTACTATGTTCAGCCATACTTGTGTCTAATTGAAAATATTGATTGAAATCTTTGGGATTCACCTGATTGATGACTCTGAATTTGTTAATTTGAGAAGATTACCAAAGTGTCAGTTGTTTGTTTAATCATAGTGTCTACTTTGTTATTTGTATTGCAGAATGATTATGGTATAGAAGCTTTACAGGAAATCAGCAATATAATGACAGAATCAGACGTATCACCATTTGAATTACTTCATAGTGGTATGATAGCCAAATTACTTGCATACCTTGTATCACAGAAGGATGCAAATGCTGTGTCTAGATATACAAGACTTAAAAGATTTTTACATGTCTTCCTTAATTGTCCTGTAAGTACAAATTTATTAATGCCTCTATAAGAGTGTATGAGATTATTACGAGAATACCTCAAAGTAAAGTGGTTATGTCAACTGAAGTGTAGTGGAGGTCAATATATTACTGCCGTGCATACTTTGCGGTTTTCTTGTGATAACTTTATTGTCCTATGTATTTTCCTATGTAACAGCCCGAAACAGCAATGAAGAATGTTTTGTGCTGTGCGAACATTCAATGATGGGATTTTATTTCAATCACACGCTGATTGATCTTTTGTGTCTGAAGTAAACAAACTGTTCAAATGTGAAGTTAACATAATGTACAATTCCCAAATAAAGAAGATGTTTGAACACGTCTATACAGCGTTTTGCAGCAGTTAAATTATATTGTTTTCTGTGTCAGATGTATAATAATACAAGGTTATTATAAAGATATCTCAAAGTATGCACGAAGACAGTACAGCGGCGTACCAGAGTCGATGCGACGGCGCACTGTCGGAGTGCATACTTTGAGGTATCTTTGTAATAACCTTATTATTATACGTCTTTCCCTTTCCGAACTTCTTTGTATGGAGTCCGGTCAAACCCTGGTGGCAGCCATGTTTGTTTTTATTATTAGGGGAAGTTTACACGTTAATCTTTCCATATTTGGAATTTGCATTTCCAATTATGGTAGGATGAAAATGCCCTGTAAAATACCATAAAATTATGGCACGCTCTATAATAATGATAGTTATGATTTGCAGCTGTGTTTAGTTGTCTCAACTAACAATTTCTCTATTTCTGAATTCATAGGCTCCAGATAGCAAATCATTTAAAGCATTAGATTTAGCCAGTCCACCCCCCTTCCTGCAATTAGTAAACAAGCTACAGGGCTGTGTGAACCATTTAGAACAGTTTCCAGTAAAAGTGCATGATTTACCAGGTGGTGCAACTCCAGGCACAAGAGGGTCACAAGCAATGAGGTTTTTTAATACACATCAGTTGAAGGTAAGTCCAAATATTCTTAGTATACATGCACACTCAAATACATTTGACAGCACTCTGCTTATGTTATAACCTTGTGTGGGAGTTTTAAATTGACCTAAACGTCCTCATGATGATTCTTATTGGCTTTTTCTTGACAGTGTCAACTGCAGAGACATCCAGAATCTTTGAATCTTAGACAGTGGAAAGGAGGTCCTGTCAAAATTGATCCATTAGCTTTGGTGCAAGCAATTGAAAGGTATCTTGTTATCCGAGGCTATGGCAGAATAAGACAGGCAAGTTTTTAATATGTCACATATCACATGTTACTTACTTTAATTATGAATTCTGTCAGTGATAATCTATAAATTATTTCAGGAGTCTCCATAAATCACTGATTTGTGTCTAATTAGTCCCCGTTCGGACGCAGTCCGAAAACGGGGACTTATGTTTTGCCCTGTGTGCGTCCCTCCGTCCGTCCGTCCGTGCGTCCGTGATCACCTGTATCTCGAACATGCATGGACCGATTAAGTTCAAACTTCACTCATACATCACACATTATATGGGACATATGCACATGCATTTTTTTCATGATCCGATTAACGATAGCCGAATAGCGGCCATTTTAAGGCCGAAAATGCGTCAAAATCGCACATTTTCACCATTCCGGACCCGGATCTCAGTTATGCATGGACGGATTTTGTTCAAATTTGGTACATACATTAAACATAATAGACCTTGATGCACGTCATTTTTTTTT